GCTCCGGGTGTCTAGAAAAGGTTCCTAGGATCATAAACCGGAGGCAGACGAGATTGAGCCTTCTGGTACCTTCTCCTCATAACCTCATTTGACGCCTTCTGCTCCATCGTGAGCTCAAAAGCCTGTGACTGAATCTGCTGTGCTCGGACATCCAGAGCCGCCCTCTCAGCAGTCATCCTAACGTCTTCTGCCACCAGGTTTTCTTTAGCCTGTGTTATATCACGCTTCAACTATGCCACTTCTGCATCATGCTGAGCCTGATTTGCCGGGTTGACCATGGCGGTTAATAGGGTCATCAACTTATTAGTGAGATCCATCAACACCTGAGCCGGCGAGCGCACAGGGCCTCCTGCCCCGGCTGTTGTTTTCCCGGAGGTCATGGCCACCGCAGTTGATGAAGTTAACGCAGGTTGGGTACCTGCCATGAAGATTCCAACTCTGCTTGGCGGCTCAAAGGGGGCCAGAATACTATCGCCATCGGAACAGCCCCCAAGCCCGCCGTCTTGCAGTTGATACAACGAATCCGTCTTACCCGTGGACGACTCACCATCGGAGTAGATGGCTGTCTCACCGCCGGAGTCAGATCCTTCAAAAAATTCTCCTCTGTGGATGCATCCCACGAAGACACGCCTCGCGGCGGGTTGAGCCCGGGCGGGTCTCACATGCTGAGCCGTCTCAATGATGTTGGTGCAGATGTCCGGTTCAGGGCCAGGCTCGCCGATCTTGCCGATGAAGACGTGAATTCCGCCGAAGGGGAGCTGGTACCCATACTCAATTAAGCCGGCGTGGGGGCCCCAGCCTGCGTCGTCGATGTAGAGCTTGCCGCAACGACTCTTGGTTATCCAGCCCACAGCGTATCCCTTGAGCCCTTCAAAGCTGCCCTTCAAGAACTCAAATCCACCGTGGGCTGGTCCCACGGTGGGCGCCAACTGTCATGGAATTGTCACGCCAGATGTCCTAGCGTAAGGACTTAGTCGTGGAGCCATCGCAACTAGGAACCTTAAAGGGGTTAAACGGGACAAATGACACGGGGTTTATACTAGTTCGGCCACTTGCGATGAAGGTAAAAGCTTACGATCCAGTTTTGGATGGGATTGCTTGTGAATCGATAACCAGAGAGCGAACCCGCTTGACCTAGTTCTTGATCTGTTGTTACTTGCCCTGAACTGCCGCCGGGTCGTCCCTTTATATACGGAGGTCGACGCCCAGCGGCTCATAGAGTCCCGGCCGGTTCATAAACAGTGTCCGGCTCAGTCTTCCTTCGTTTCTACCTTACAATACAAGTTTACTCATACATGGCGGTTTATCTCTATAGGCCTTAAGTCGCTTTTGGGCCTTGGGCCTTAGTGACCCGCCATCTTCAAGTGCCTTCAATGGGCTTTGTCATAGGTGTGATCCGGCCCCTCCTGCGTGGGTCATACCTAATAGTTATATCCCCAACACTAACCGTTCCAAACCCTAGCCACCACCCACCTCTTCCGCCCTGTGCGCCGTCCCCGGGGCAGGGGGCGGTGGGCGGCCCTTTTCCCCAATCTCTTGATCCGGATTTTTCTCTCTTCCGCCGGTCGCTTTGGTCGGTATTTTTTTTATTTCCGATCTCAAATCGGTTTGCGTCGCCCGCTGTTGTTCGTCATCTACGTCGCGCCTCTACTTCGTCATTGGATTTGGAATAGTTGTTGCATGACACCGGCTTTGACGCATGCATCGGCGTCCTCTGTGCTGATGCGGCCTGCGGCTCGTCGCGCTGTCGTACACGTCCAGCACGCGGGCGTGGTGTGATGCCACAAGGCCACGTCCATACACCTCGTTGGTGCATGGCGTGTGCAGGTCTTTGTGCATCACGTGCTGGTGTGCTTATGTGCATGCATGCATCGCACCACGGCGATTCTCGGTCCGGCCGTACTCACGCCGAGCAGCTACTTCAACCCCGCGAGCAGTCGACTTGATCACTCGGAAAGCAAGCGATCCACTCCGTCCTCGTCGCATGTTCGGTCTGATCAACTGCACATGAGCGTATCCTCATCATGTATCCGCACATCTTCACTCATTGAACAACGGGCTGTTGCTATGTCACCCCTTCGTGCCGCAGCGCCGCCGTCCTGTGGTTCTCCTCGCGCTGCATCAACCCGCGTGCTGCCGCTGTGGCGCCCCTTCAGATCATAGTATCGCGACCCGCGATCTATTGCCGTCCCGAGGCCGTCCTATCCATGCCGTTTCTGTGGTTGCACCGACCCTTGCGCTGCCATTGCGTCGCCCTATCGGGTCGTAGCGAGCGTGGCACGCGGTCTCCGTCACCACCCGAGGCCATCCCCGTGGTTGCACTGACCTGCGCCATGTCGCTGCGCCGCCCCTTTGGGTCGTAACGTCGCGGCCCACGGTCATCGCCGTCGCCTCGACCCGCCTGCTGTTGTTGTGTCCCCCCTTCGGGCCTTTGCACCACGGCCCGCCATCCACTCCGTCGTCTTCGTGTGTTGACTTCATGTGGTATGTGTCGGCCCGCGTCCTTTGGCGTGGGAATGCCACCGTCTGTGTCGGTCTTCGTCATGTTGTCGGGTTCTTCGCCTACTTCGAGAGCCACCACCGCGCACCTAACCTAGTCGTCGCGGCCGCCGTTAGGCCACCGCCACCGCTTTTCTTAGGCTACCGCCGCCGCCCGTCGATCCCTTTCGCCTTCCTCTAGCACTAGCTCGTCGCCAGCGTCGCCGTCATCTTCCCCGACCACTTCGATTGTTCCCACAACCGTCATCGAGTCTCCTTCTCTGCTGGTCCCTCCGACTCCTCGACATAGCGTACAACTCATGCAGGTCCCTCGTCTACGCATGCCCGGTGCTCGATGCATGCCTTCATCCACGACGTGTCCTCTGGGCCTGGCAAGCCTGGTGCGACGCTTTGTCAACTTCGTCTTCATCCGTCTATGCATGTCTGGTGCTGGCAACACCGATGCGTGCCTTCGTCATCCATGATGTGTCCCCTAGCTTGGCAAACCCTGCGCGACGCGTTGTCAACAACGCCTGCTTCCCGGTGCACCACTACTTCGACACCACTGTGCTTATGACTAACACGTTGTCTCCTTGCGCCCGCGGCTCCTCCATGACTTCATCGACAGTGGCTCCCCCGACGCGACATGGACCACGGCGTTCTTCGCAAGGTTACCTCGACCTCGGCTACACCATCATACGCTCTCAGTTACCTCAACATCGGCACAAAGGGCTATCACCTCGCTTGAGCAATTCGTTGACTTCCTCTACAGTCCACGCGTCCGCAACGCGACACCGTCCATGATGCTCCCATTGCGGCTGCCGGGGGAAGTCAGCCTGTCGGCTGCTATTCTCTTCAGTCTGACCGTCCGTGATGCTTCTGTTGTTTGCAACGCTACCGCTACGACTGCGCGGGGGAGGGGGGGGTGCGTCAGCCTGTCGGCTGCTATTCTCTTCAGTCTGACCGTCCGCGACGCTCCTGTTGTTCGCAACGCTACCGCTACGACTGTGGGGGTTGTTAGAGATATATATGGGTTACATGTGTTTGGTAGTTTAGGGTTTGTAATCTGTCTCCTGCCTTATCTCTAGGAGAGGCATCTTGTACTCAATATATACTCGTCGTCGAGACTCAGTAATACATCAAATAATTCCACCCATCTCTCTATTCCCTACCAACAAGGAACCACCTTACCACGACGAAGAGAGAAGCAGGGGAACAAATTCCCCACATCTGGCCATTATCTCCACCATGAAGACTGGAACAGGAGAAACAAGCTTCGCCAGATCAACCAATCCAGGAGGAAACCACGCCAGAAGCTTCCGACTCCGCCACATAGGACCTCGTCGCGATGGGAATCGAACTCCAACACCCTTATTCCACCGCACCACTAGCACCACCACCTCGCTAAGCGTCAGACACG